ACAACGATGGGGGGTCATCATTTGGCCTTGCACTCACCCCCTCCACATGCAGGCCTAGTCGTTTCCCGAACGTTGAACAGCATCCGTCTCAGGCATCACATTAGCAGTGCAGGCTTTGACTTTAGGACACTCAGCACGTGCATGTCCTGCTTTGTAACAAAGAAAACACAGATGATTTGCTCTGCAGTGAAAATTGGTGGTGTGGCCAACATCTCCACACACCTCACACGGTAGGGTAGGCCCCCCTCTGTTTCTCTGTGACCTATACGCATGCCGCTCTGTGCCAGCCTGACGATTTGACTGCCCATGCTCCAAGACACGTTCCAACATTGCCAAGATTCGCTCCATGGCTTCAACAGGTTCTTTAGGCTGAGCTTGACATACAACGGAGTCAGGTTTAACAGTTTTGTGAACCTTTGATTCATGAGGCTGGACAGCAACCTCCTGTTTCAAAAGAGTAATGGCAGGGGGCGCTCTAGAAACAGAGCCACATCGTCTCTCTCTGCCATACTCCTCCAAACGTGCGTGTACATCAGCCGCAGTCCATTGCTCCACAGGTCTGCATTTAAATATAAGGGACAGCTCAGGGTCAGGACAATGTCTGATAAACATTACAGTGAGCTCTTGGGATAGATTGTCAATCTTCTTGTCCTGTCTCTTTAGACAGTCCTCAGCCATATCCATGGCCCTATTCAGCCTCAGCCAATAATCAAAGGGATCCTCACCAGCGTGTGGAAGTGTGCCGTAAAAATCAGCTAATGGCATGCTAGAAAAAGCTGTGTCACTGAAATGTTGTTTCAACAAATCAAAAATAGGACTCGGGCCTTTGCTGAAATCAATGGAAGGGTTACTACGCAAGCCCACCCTCACAACTTCACGAGCCCGCCCCAAAAGCCTACTAATGACTTCATCAGCTTGTTCTTCGATTGGCGTCCCTATTTTGCGCAAATATGACAGCACTATTGCTTCCCACTCATGTATAGTGTATGGCTCAGCCCGATCACCCCTGAAACAAACAGGTTCCTTGATTTCAGATTTTAGAACTCTGCTCAAAACAGATGAGTCTGCACTACTTGAACTGCACACTTTAGACTCTAAACAGGAAGCGATGCTCTCCCCAATAGAGCGTCCCATTCGTTCTACCATCCCCACTATTAATTCCATTGACTCATCCCCTCTCTATGGAGGACCAACTCTACCAAATTTAAAAATAAATACAGAAATAAATAAATGCTCAATAAATAAATAAGCATACCGGGCGGCACCGCTCAGCACGACCGTCATCCAGCGCGAAACACACGTATACAGTATGTGTGATATATGGTTTATTTAAACTGAAAAGGTAAAGCACAAATTAAAATGATTGTGACAGATGTGAAGGGGGAGGAGAATTTATACGTGCGTCAGGTTTCTCGACAAGAGAGATTTCCGCATAGGATACACCTGTCCTGTGCATCCTCGGTCATAGCTTCTTTTGGAAGCTTTCTCACTCCTCGTTCCTCGCCTCCTCATGGTGCAATAAGAGAATTGAGATGTCCTTCATGGCTGAATTCGATCAGTTTCCGGGTCACAGGCTGGAGGACGTAGGAGTGAGGAAACGAGGAAGCATCAATTTGCACCCAGAGACGAAAACGGTATATAGTTTTCAAAAACATGCACTTGAAAACAATGTTGCGTATATGCCATGAAAGCAGCGTTTTGGGGGCCTGAAAATGGGTTTCAAAGTGCAAGTTTTTTTTAATTATACCGTTATTATCTCTGTGTAAACTACAAAAACGTGAATTTGTGAATATGCTGACGTCATGGGCACTCGTATTACATGTTTAGTCTAGGCTTGTAGTGTTTCTTTACAAAGTGACGCGGAGGATAGGATACGACTCTGCTTGCATTCATGTGATTTGTCGAGATGAGAGGTGATATAATGGCGCTTTACCACTGCATGGTACAGCTCGGTTTGGTTTGCTTTTCCATTGCAGTTTAGTACCGCTTCAAAGTGGGTGGGATTATAGACTGATCGTTATAGTTGCGCCGCCTCTGCTTCAGTGACATCATCATAAACCCGACACAAACAAACACACAACACAGGAGCAATGGAGCATATCGATGGAATGATGTTCTTGATTCTCGGCATGTGGATGTTTTTTACTGCAAGACGAGGAAGTTTGTTTGTTCGGGTTTGGTGTCTCGTGTTGCAAATCCAATGATGTGACAATAGTGACAATTGTCTCTGACCAATCAGTGATCTGCATTGTTTACTTGTCACATTTTAGTATCGGTACGGCTTGCTAGGAACTTCAACAGAGGTACTATTTAAGTGAGCTGTACTGAGCCGTACCATGCCGTTGGAAAAGCGCCATAGTGCCTGCTGGTATTGTGATGCCATTAGGTGTGTTCGACTTAAAACAGCGCTGCACAGGCCGATTGGTGTATGACATCAAAGTAATGCGAGAGCAATTAGAGAGCAGACGACCCGTATGCTTTCAAATTGCTCTCGCGGTACTTTGATGTCATACACCAATCGGTCTGTGCAGTGCCACTTCAAGTTGAACACACCTACAGTGAAGAACTACAGATTGGAGAAACAGAGCTTTTCGAAACTCCGAATCAATTGAACCAGTTGCTTTGCAAAATGATTCACTGTTTCACTTGATTCATCCGCATCTGTAAACAAAGACTCTGGTTATCCTTCAGCTAAGTTCCATCCTGAATATCGTCTGCTTGCATACTCACCATATCTCTGTCTGGATCTGCAACCTGTAAATAAACACTATTTCACTTACCACCTGTCTGACTCCTGCTCCATCCGTGACAATTATTATTTTTCACCCACTGGACACTGACGCTTTGAGAACATTCCCTGTTAGTTGTTTCCATAAGACTACAGCTACCATTTATCCTGTTCCTGAATAACAAGATTGTACTCAGACAATATTCTCCATGGTGATAAAAACCACTCTGCAGTCTCCATAGAGATGCTTTATCAGCACTTGCTAGGTGCAGGTTTTGTACTTAGCCGACTGTTTACTGTAGCTAAGTTGATGGGATAGGTCTATATCTGACAACGGTGCCTGTCCTTATTCTCCTATATATAAACTTATGGTAGACTAATGAGATCTTTCATGTGATCAGTGTGGAGTTCATCATCTGGCTCTCCAACAATCTAATCAGTCTACTTTGTTCCTGCTATCATATGATCTAATCAGTGATGTCGTCAAAGAGGGAATAAACATGTGCCCTAATGACTGATGAGGTATTACAGAGCACAGATGATGGCAAAGTCGTCACGTAAGTTTAAATTGACAGAATTTACTGAAAACATGTGGTTTAGCTGCTGTAGTAAAAATCCACATACTTTTTCAAATGTTTCAAATACAAATGTTTCAACACTTTTGAAGTGTTGAATTTGATTGTTTATGAACGTAGTTTTACACCAAATACAAATAGCCCGGCTTGCAAAACCCATTTGATAACAGGATGAGATATCAGTTCACAAAGCTATATGATGTAACAAACATCTCCAAGTGTGAAAGATCTGTGGAAGGGAGATAATCTCAGATCTGCTGGTTGATGAATAATTATGTTATGGTGATTTTTTTTATCACCCTTTTTTTGGGGGGGAATGCATAGAGGGACCAGTATTGCAGATTTCCAGGTAACCTTGAGAGTCTGAATGTTACATAGACAACCATTGCATTAGTTTGCCGCAGTGGCTACTTGCTCCAAATGGTTTATGTGCAATTCAAAGAATTCTAAATTCTGAAATTCTCTTTGCACCAACTTGAACAACTTGAATTGGAATTTGTTCATATTTTCCAACTCATCACTACAGTATGATGGATAGCTGTATATTTATTTATTTAATTTGAACCGGAAAAGATTTAGTGTCATCCCAATATTTTTAAAATATTATCTGAAATAATTTAATGTAAATGCAGAATAACCCTTTTCTAAAGTTGTTACAGAGGTATTCAACTATCTTCTGGGTAAAATAACCCCATGGGAACCAGATTCTGTTACCAATACTAATCAATAATTGATGAGGATACCTGTGAAGAAACAGAGAAGGTGCAAGATTATCTGCAGGAGAGGCCGTAGAATCAGTTGATGTAGAAATGTGAAGTCAGCAATCGCCAGTTCAACGGTTGTCTTAAATATAAACTTAGCAACAATAAGTAAAATCTGAGTTATAAAATTAATAAATTAGCATTTGCATTTGTAGAATAAAGTGTAACCAATAACAAAATACTTCTTCAAATGTCCCTTAGTAAAAATCCCTTGAAAACATTTCTCAAAGACTACCAGTACATGATTCAATAAAATAATCGTGTGAAGTTGAAATGTGCTTAATTGTAGTTAATTTGCACTTGTAGGTCATTTTTTAATTATTATTACAAATGTGTAATTATAAATATTAAATAATGCATAACATACACATTTCAATAGAAATTACATTAAAACATATTTAGTTTAGCGTGCTTGTCAATACATTGAGCAGTACACTTTAACCATATTTCAAAGACAATAGAAATAATTATGAAATTATGATTATGATTATTATATAGTTTCACAGAGTATGCTTAAGCCTAGTCCCAGACTGAAATGCATTTTTTAAAGCTTTTTTTTAACTAAAAGCAACTTGCACTGACTTGTCTTAAAATATGTTTTTTTCTAAAGCATGTTTATAAAAGCTACGTAAATGTCCAAAATTGAACTAAGATCTAATCCTGGCTTAATCTAAGCCCTGTCTGTAAAACCAGGCCAGAAAGAAAAAATGATTATTATTTAGTAAGTACGGTTATGCCCATTTAATATTCTAAAGTGTAGGCACCTTCTTTTTCATCAGGGTAAAGGGAACGTTGAGACTTTATTTATATATTATTAACCAAGATACAGAACATAATGCAAGATTCTCGATATCTCATCCAAAAAAAAAGGGTTTTATTCACCCTCTATTCAGCAGCATAATGATGCCAATCATAGAGGCGATGGCCCCTCCCATCACACAGAACCGAAGCGCGCGGCCGTCAATGGCACTGAGTAGTGCACGTCACCTGTCTTTAACATGTAGCTAGAAACGCTAACACGGCTCGAAATTCAACTCAGATGACCAACACTCTGGTCGCATTTGTGTTTTCGTTGAGCCGAAGTGAAACTGCATGTCAAAGATGTTCGTTATAGCTCGTAATCCAAGCCTAGAGCCGTTGAGGGTAGAACTGACCGTGTGAATTTAACCGCATTAGCTAACGTTAGCCAGCTAGCTGGGTTTACCTTTAGCTGCTCTAGTTGAAACGAGCTAATATCACCAACGTTCAAAATATAGATGTTCAGCGAGTCGATTCTCGATCATAAAGGCAAATTTGACGGCCTCCTGGAACGTGGGGTCTTTTGGAGAGGAAACTTCAATCGGAGAAACGTAAGTTACACCACATTTGTCAGACTAACTAGCAAGCTAGCGTTATCTACCGGGATGGACGTGTTTCGTAACTGCTGCACCAAGTCAGTGAGCCCGTAACGTTACTGTCTGCTCCAGGAATTCGACCTGTTAATGGCTGTGTCCCAAAACATAGCGAGTTACCAGTCTAGGCAGCATTTTTGGGTATCGTAGGTTTTCGATTTGAACGTAAAAAAGACGCCTATGATGTCCGAGATGCTGTGTACGTTAGAAGCTCAGTCAGTTTTGACACACAGACCATTAATTCCTGCATCAAACACTCTTTCCAAAGACAACAACAGTGTTGGCATTTAATTAACCTTACTCCTGGTTGTTTTTAACTTTACGAGATGTAAATACAGGCTTTATATGTTATTCCTCCCCCCATCAGTGCACAAAACAAGGCCATGTTAGCTGTTATCAGTGTCAGAAATTAACTTGATGAAGGCCTTATTCTAAACATAGAATTCATGCATAAAAAATGTTAAATTCATTGTTTTTTTTGCCCTCAGATTTTGAGATTCACTGTCGGTCAGATTTATTCTTGAAACCCTGATTAATGTTTTACCCTGAGTGTGATTGAAATTCGCTGATGGAAAGTTCATGGCACAAATAATCAAAAGAAAAATGAGCGTAGCCATTGCACTGCTTGTTCTGTGATACTTTATATCACTTTATTTGGAACTTTATTCCAAATAAAGAACCTTATTCCAAATACATACAGTATACTGCATAATTTAAAGTGATCATGTAGCTAATCTCAAAACTGCTTGATTGTTTATATTGTCGCAAAATGTAAATTATACTATCACCCTGCTATCACATATGCCAATTTCTGTAAAGTTGCTTTGAAATAACGTGTATTGTGAAAATAGAGGTCAACCGATAGTGGATTTTACTGATAACAATAACTAGGTTGGACCGCACTGGCCGATAACCGATTAACTAACTGACCATTTTTAAAATGGATACTGAATGAAAACTAACAGTTTTCCAAGTAAAGTGCTGAACCATGAAAATGTACTGTACTTATTAAACGAAATATATAAATATTAATATATTAATTATACGTTGAGTTCATAGTGCAATAACTAATGTTAACAGATACAACTTTTAAATTTAAAAGTGTATTAGTAACTGTTGAAATTAATGATCTAAAAATGAACAATACTTCTACAGCATTTATTAACCTTAATGTTACAGATGGAAAATGACCAGCTGGATATAAACTAATACAAACAGATGGTAACAATCGTGATATTAAACATTTGGGTCGGACTTTCGTGTATTTTTGTCATTGTTTTTAACCGTTGAGGTACTACTAATGTTAGCGTCCTCTTAGCCTTGAAGGCAAACATACTGCTGTTCTTTCTCTACTAATGCAGCATCTAGTCAACAAATGAATTACTTTATAACGATATGAAAACAATGTAGTGTAGTGTACTGTATACAAAGCCTACCCAGGGCTCCAGACTAACTTTTCCACTGGTTGCACTGGTGCTACCAACTTTCTCAGTTGGTCGCACCAGCATATGATTTGGTCGCACCCGTTTTTATTTTTTTTGCTACATGCCATGGGTTTAATCAATGCATGCTGATGAATAGTGGTTTTAATGGACCAAGGCTAGCAAAGGCTTTCTGGGTTGCAGCAGAAATACCTGTAGGCTAATATATTAATTATCATTGCCAAATTTCAGGATTTTCATGGATTTTGGACAGTAATTTTAATCTGTAATTTTAAGCATTTTACATTTGAATTATATACAATCTATCTATTTACATTTGAATCATATTCTATCTATCTATCTATCTACGGTATCTATCTATCTATCTATCTATCTATCTATCTATCTATCTATCTATCTATCTATCTATCTATCTATCTATCTATCTATCTATCTATCTGTCTATTATCATCTTTCTATCTTTTAAAAATCATTAAACATTCAAATGTATGCATTACATTTTAAAAGATTAGAGTATTATAATAAACTGATACAGATTTTTCGTTATCAAAGTTTATAGTTGTAACAAAAAGCAGAAATCTCACACTCCTTACCTTCTGCATTTTATAATAATTTCCTTTTCCTCTGTCGAGCGATCATGAGAGTAATCGCTCGACAGAGGAAAATATAACCGCTGAAAAGACGTAGGAGGAAGGGGCTCTGTGAGACCATTTTTATCATTTTTATATGCCTTAATTCGTGAATTCGTAATTGGCGCGTTTCACCATCAGTGTGCAATGCGCGTGACGTCTACGTTCGTCAATAAATAAACTGCACGTGTCTTGCAGAAGAACATTGTAGACGGAACTTCTCTCCGTTAATGTCTATGGCGAGTCACGCAGGCACTGGGCTACTCCGCAGCCGAGACGACCCCGGGATAAAATAGTCCGAATATAAACACTTATTATAGGCGTACCGTAGTGATTCAGAATAAGTCAAAAACACGGTTTGGAAAATGGATTCATGATGTAGCCTACTCGTTCATTTTGAACATAAGTTACAGACTGCAGCAGCTGATACAACGGCGTTCTGTTGCTCAAGCGTCCACTCGCACAAATGCGACGACATAACATTTTAATTCGCACATTCTCAAAAAATGGTCGCAGTCTGGAACCCTGAGCCTACCATTTCGTTGTCTGTTTTAAATCTACATCTGAAGTGTCCCACTCCATGCAGCGCAGCCTCAAGTGTCAAAACAAACTCCATGAGGCATCAGTGATGTTTTTTTTTACACATCTAGAGTAGAGCCCGACCGATATGGATTTTTGGGGGCCGATACCGATATTAGGGAGTAAAAAAAAGCCCGATACCGATATATCGGCCGATATTATTTATGTGTATATTATAATACAGTAGCAATATTATTAGTGTAATATAGTACAGTATACCAGTCAAAAGTTTGGACACTTTCCTATTGGTGTGTACAAACTTTTGATGGGTACTTTACACAGTAGCTATAAACAGAATAAATATATTTTATAAACACGTTTTGCAATGATCACTCAAATGTGGTGATCAAACTTGTGTGACACATAGGGATGGGAATCGAGAACCGGTTCTTCTTCAGAACCGGTTCCCAGTGAACCAATTCCTTGGAACCGTTAGTATGCCTGCTTAACGATTCTGCTTATCGGTTCCGCTCGTTGCAAATGTGTCATGACGTCACACACGCGCTGCGTTATTTTGGTTCAGAACGCAGCAAACACGGCATCGAGGCAGAAGCGCTCGTTTGGTTATATTTCACGCGAAAAGACGACAATATATGAGGTGCCGTCTAGGGCTTAAATCAAACTTCATTCACGCACACGGCACATACTCATATGAGACGCGCGCGCGCACACACAAACTCTCCACGCACATACTTATATGAGACGCGCGCGCACACACAAATTCTCCACCGAAGAATCGATGACATGATAATCGTAATGAACCGAACCGTGAGACCAGTGTAGGTTCACACCTACTCTGTGCTGTGTCAGCGAGTTAATAATAATTAACAAACAAATAAGTTATAAGTTCAATAAGTTAATACAAACAAACAAATTTGTACTTATTCCCTCACCCAATGAGAATCGATAAGAGAATCGATAAGGAATCGAATCGATAAGCAATATCGATAATGGAATCGGAATCGTTAAATTCTTATCGATTCCCATCCCTAGTGACACAGATATGTAATGGAGGCAGGGGGAATGATAGAATGAGAATTATACAGCTGAGCTGTAACCAAACTAGTTGGCATTGCATGTTATATTATATTATATTCTAAATACTGTTGCATAATCTTCACTAACGACTTTGTCTTTTAATTTAGTCATAACTTGTATCAATAAATATATAAAAAGTGTCACTGACAAAACCTTATTATCTTCTATTTTTACTCTTAATTCCTCTAATCTCTCTACCAGTGGAGGAAGAACTCAGATCTTTTTACTAAAGTAAAATTAATAATATCATAATGAAAACGTTTTTAATTACATATGTAGCCTACAGTACTTTTATACTATTTTAAATAATTAGTAAGCGAAATGTACTAAACGTGAAACTAGGCTACTCTTAATGCAAAATGGCCCTATATAAAGTGTTATAATTATATATATTTTTGGAATATTGCTTGATGTTGTAACGTAGCGTTATCAGGCAGAATGAGCTTTAACACGGTGTCTACACCGGACGCGGCCGTTACTGCTCGCGTCGCTGCCGTCGCAACAGCTGTTTACCCTAGACAAAGCAGAATCAGTTTACTGTCAGAGATCGCTCGCGCCACGCATTTTAATCAATGTTTCATCAACCAATTGCCTTAATAAATAAGAAGTAGGCCTATAGCAGACAATATAATCAGGACTTCTCAGCTGCGCGCTTGCAATAGTCACAAGCACACACAATACGTGACAGAGGGTTGTAGCAGAGCAATCAATTCTGTGAATTACACTGCGCAAATCACAAGTAGGCTAATACCCACCGGATGAAGAAGGGTTGGCTCTCAGTCTCCACAGGCTACATAAAATATTTTATTTTATTTTATTTTTCGTGTTCGCATTTATGAGGAAAAAACAATGTTACAGACGCGACAGTTCAGCACTACGGACGTGAGCGCTCTGAAAGCGGCACTAAAATATGCTTTGAAACTTTCACATAGACATCAAACAGAAAGCACAAAACCTTTCGTTTCAAAGTGAATTTCGTTTTGTATTAATTGTATCTTAATTGTAATCAATGTTTCATCAACCATTTGCCTGGATCGCCTGCGGGTGAACTGGAGCTCGTCTCATTAACCGAAACTCAGCGTATAGACCTGAGAATTGAAATATATCTATATTGAAATGTCTACTTTTAAACAGAACAATTCAAAACGAAAGACAGACAGACTCATGTAATCGTATGAAATGTGCATTTCTCTCTGGCACGCGTTCACTGAAGATCGCGAGTCAGCATCGTCAACTTCATCTTTGGCTGACACTGACTGAAAACACTTGT